TAATGGAGCAATTGATTTTAAAAGTTAGACATGGTGGCACAGGAGGCTGAGATAAGAAGTGGCCTGGAAAAATATAGAAAACCGTGTCAGTCATTGTGGTGGTTTGAAAGAAAATGGCCCCCAAAGGGACAGTCACTATTAGGAGGTGTAGCCTTGTTGGAGGAAGTATGTCACTGTGGGGACCAGTTTTGATGTCTTTTTCTCAAGCTTCCTTCAGTGTGACAGTCAGCTGACTACCTGCTGCCTTCTGGTCAGCTCCAGCACCATGTCTGACTGTGTGCCCCCATGCTCCCTGTCATGATGATGATGGACTGAGCTCTGAAACTGTAAGCCAGCCAGCCCAATCAGATGTTTCTTTATAAGAGTTGCTGTGGTCATGGCGTCCCCTCACAGCAATAAAAACCCTAAGACAATCATCTAGATCAATTTGAGGCTGGCAAGGGGCCTGATGGCCCAAGTTCAATCTCCAAAACCCACATGTAGATGTGACTCACCGATTGTCTTCTGACCACCACATGTGTGCCAAGGCAGGCTTGCATGTGTGCACACCCCAGCACTCCCACATATCTGGGCTCTGACAGCAGCTTATCAGGCTGCAAGCTGTCTTCCTGGTAATGTCACCCTGGGAAACTTACTTGAATACTCTGTACCTCAGTTTTGTTAGCTGAAAAATGGTGACACTTGTAGTACACACAGCATAGGATATCTATGAGACTTAAACTTGAGTAAGCTGAGAATACGCTTGTAATCCTAGGACTGCCGAGGCAGAAGAATTATAAATGTGAGGCCAACCTGGGCTACATAGCAAGTTCCAGGACAACCTGAACTACGTAGTGAGACTGCATCTCAAAAGAACCAAATGAAAAGATAACCCAAAAAGAATTAAAATAATAAATGGCACACGGTAAACAAATGGTAAACCAGTTATTGTTTTAAACAAGGAGGGGGATTGAGGCGAAAGGAATGCTTTCCAAGGCTGCAGGTATAGCCTGGTGATGAAGTACTGGGTTACCTTTGGGTTTGACCCTCAACATTATTGTTTTAAGCCCCTGCACAACACAGCTTGAAAACGTCCTCACATTATTACTTCTGTCTTAGTGTTTCTATTGTGAAGAAACATCATGATCACAGCAACTCTTATAAAGGAAAACGTTTGATTGTGATGGCTTACAGTTCAGAGATTTAGTCCATTGTCATCATAGTGGGACATGACGGGGTGCAGGCAGACATGGTGCTGGAGAGGTAGCAGAGAGTTCTACATGTTGTAAGGCAACAGGAAGTGGTCTATCACACTGGGCAGTATCTCGAGCATATGTGAGACCTTAAAGCCCACCTCCACGGAGACACACTTCCTCCAACAAAGCCACACTTACTAATAGTGTCACTCCCTTTGGGGGCCATTTTCTTTCAAACCACCACGATGACTGACACGGTTTTCAAAATTTTCCAGTCCACTCCTTGCCTCGGCCTCCTGAGGCCTCCTGTGCCACCACGTCTGACTGGAAACAGCATCAACAACTGAAGTGTCCATTAATAGGTTGTTTTTATTTTGCGTGCGTGTGCGTGTGCATGTGCATGTGCGTGTGCGTGTGCGTGTGTGTGTGTGTGTGTGTGTGTGCATGGTGTGTGTGTGTGTATGTGTGTGCCTTAAGTGTGTAAGCACAGGTGAACACACGATGTGTGTGCAGGCCAGAGGACAATGTCATGTTTCTGGCTTCACATTTTACCTTTTTTTTTTTTTTTTTTGAGACAGGAGTTCTTGTCTACCACTGTGTATGCCAGGCTAGCTGGCCCACCAGTGTCCATGGATTCTCTGTCACACCTCCCATCTCATTGGTAGCACTGGTTAAAGATATGCACTACTGCACCTGTATTTACATGGATTCTGGGGATTCAAAATCAGGTCCTCACAATTACACAGCAAGCATTTTCCCCACTAAGCCATATCCCTAGTTCAAGGATTTTTTAAAACAATTTAGTCTAAGGTCAGAATACTAAGTATTATCTAAAATGTTGTAGATCAAGCTGGCAAGATAGTTCAATGGGTAAGTGCTCTTATCATGCAAACCTGACAACCTAAATCCAATTTCCAGGACACACATAAACATTGAAGGAGAGAACTGACTCCACAAAGCTGTTTTGACCTCCACAGCCATGCTGTGGCATGCACAAAATAATAGTAAAATAAGATATTGTATATGTTTGGGTCTGTCCCACCTGCTGCCCAAGGGCTGCACGTACCTACAGATAGTTGTGAATACAACCAAAAACAAACTCAAACTTACTTAAACTGTTATGAGATCTGTTATTCAAGGTTTTCGTAACTTGGGCCTGGAGAGATGGTTCAGTGGTGAAGAATACCAGCTGCTCTTCCAGAGGTCCCGAGTTCAGCAACCACATGATGGCTCACAAACATCTATAATGAGAGCTGGTGCCCTCTTTTGGCATGCAGGACAACATGCAGACAGAGATATATATATATATATCTTTTAAAAAGATTTTTGTATGTTGATTGTGCAGTTCTCAAGTGTGATTGTGCATGGCAATGCCATATTGCAATGTCAAACAGCTGAACATGCTTGAATCAAGAATTCTCTCATTAGAGCAGAATGTGGTGGTATGTGTCTTTAATCCCAGCACTAGGGGAGGCAGAGGCAGGGGGGGCTCTGTTGAGTTCAAGGCCAACCTGGTCTGTATAGTGAGCTCCAAGCCAGCTACCACTCCATAGTGAAACTCTGTCTTAAAAACAAAAAAATAAATAAACAAACACACCCAAAACAATTCAGGTTACCTGTGTAAGTAGACATGAAACATAAATGAACTTTTTTATGTTTAGACATCGGTCCCATCCTCAGTGTATCTTCATAGATCAAGGTAAGGGTAAGTCAGAAATGTCAAGCTCTTCTGGTGTCATCATGATCTATAGAGCCCCAAAGACTTAGTCATAGTCAGAGAAACTAGAGCACAATGCTTAAGAGCATAAGCATTGCTACCAGATGTCTGTGGGCTGGAATCTACTACTTTCAAACACCAGGAGCTTGGAGGAGTAATTTAACCCTTTTAAGCCTCAGGTTCTACACTGTGGATAACTGATACACAGTGCTTAGCACAGTGCCTGGGACATTAGTATTACTCAGTAGGTGGGAAGAGTTATCATACTTTTCCAGTATCCAAGTATGTGTAGCTCAAAAGGGTCTCTAGAGGTAATCTATTGTTTCTGTGTATACATGTAACATACACATTCATACATACATACGTACATACACCCACCCACCCATAGGTGCACCAGTGTGAGGAGGCCAGAGGTTAATATCTGGTATCTTTCTCTATTGCTCTCTCCTTTATTTTTTGAGACAGGGTCTCTTGATGAACCTGAAATTTGATAATTAGGCTAGAACAATAAGCTTCAGGGATCTGCCTGTCTCTACCGGTTCAGTACTAGTCAGTCTCCAATCCATTGCACTCGCTTTTAAATAAACTCGGGCTTGAACTCAGGTTCTCATGCTCCATAGCATGACCAAATGAACCATCTCTCCAACTCCAAGGTTACCTATTTTATCTCCTACTGTAATAGTTAATTTTTTTTTTTTTTTTTGGTTTTTTGAGACAGGGTTTCTCTGTGGCTTTGGAACCTGTCCTGGAACTCACTCTGTAGTCCAGGCTGGTCTCAAACTCACAGAGATCTGCCCGCCTCTGCCTCCTGAGTGCTGGGATTGAAGGCATTTGCCACCAACGCCCAGCATCAATCTTTTTTTTTTTAAAAAAAAAATTACATTTATCTACTATGTGTGTAGATCAAGAGAACACTTGGTTCTTTCTGCTATGTAGGTATGAGGAATTGAGCTCACACCTCACATTCCCCCACCCCCACCCTCCATCAACCTTTACAAATTCTCCAACATTGTCACTATCATGTCCTCAATTTCCAGGTGACAGCCATCCAGTTTGTTTCTCCTGCTTCTCTGGTTATGTTTGAGGGTTCCCCTGCTTTCTGGTGCACCGAAAATGTGTCCATTAAATAAACAAATGGTGTCCAAGGCATCTTGGAGAAAAGAGCTGGTTCTATAGACAAGGGATAGGCAAATTCCAGGTGAAAGCAGGTTTATTTTGGCCACCAGGGGAATTTCAGTGTCAGCTGACAGGAAGGAGGGTGGGTGTGCATTTCTGGGGGACAAAGGCAGAGCTTATATTTATACCATTTTCCTAGTGGGTGAAGGCTATAAAGTAACATATGTCTTTGCTATGAAAACTATGTAGTTTGAATTCATCTGGAGCCAGAGCATAATTTAAAGTCAGGGAAAGCATAGCTAGTTGTCCAGCTAGGGTTTGCTCTCCTCACCCCAACCTGTGTTTTAATCCTTCCAGCAGTGGCCTGTCAACTCTAGGAGGGGATGCGATCTCATGCCTTCAGACTGTGACATCTGGCATCCTGGAGTGACAAGTGTCTTAATAAGACAAGCTATAATCTAACTCTCCCATTACATTTTCCTTACAATGTGTGTTTTCTACTTCATGAAAAAGGATGTCCTGTTGCACGTGATCTTCTTGGACAAACCCTTTCACCCACTGTGTTGCTAAGATTCACGCATATTGTTGGTTGTTAGATCACTTCACTCACCTGATGGTGGACATCGGGATAGTTTCTAGGGTTTTGTATTTGTGGAAGTATATTTTTTCACATTTCCTGTTGCAGCCATATGAATTTCCCTTGACATATGCACAGGAGTGGTATTGATGGATTGTATAATGTGTGAATACTGTTATTTCATATAAAATTTTCATCTAATATTTTTACTACTATGACTTCTTGCATCATCTCTTTGAGAATATTTATTATAGTTACTTTAAATTCTTGGTCTGCTTATTCTATTAGCTCTGTCTCTAAAATGTTTATGCACGAACTTAAAGGATTGTGAAACTATACAATTATGTATAGTATAGTGGTCATCTTTAAAGGACTGAGATCAGCAAACTCACAAACATCAGAATCAATTCGACAATTCTAGACAGCACTTCATTTTTATTATGAAAAATGTAAAAAAAAAATCATCAAAAATAAAAAACATCAGAACCCAAATGATTTCCTTGAGAAAACAGTGATTACTGAGGTCTCCTTTTGCTGCAGATATGGTGTACATCTCTCTTCTTTCCATTTCATCTCGAAGCTCCAACCCCAAATCTCTCCATTCATTCCTGATCCATGAAAGCCAAGCTGAGAGACAGATCCTTTTATATAGGTATATTAAGAACAGAAATGATCAACATTTCTCAGTGTAACTTCCATTTATTTCAGTTGTCTGTCTTTGGGCTCCAGTGTCGAGCTGGGCGCTCCACAGCCCCTCCTCCATTCGCAGATGTCTGCATAGTCACAGGTCCGACATTTCCATGCCTCTTCTACATCAACACCTTGGGGATCTCGGTGGCCCGTCCAGTAGGCCACATAATGCTGCACCTTGCTCTTCACTTCTTTCTCTTCAAACGCTACAATCTCTGTGCCCAATACAGAGGCGGTCTCTTGATGGATATACTCGAGTTTTAGGGTATCAATAGCTGGGAGATCAGACAGCGTAAGAGACAAGAAAACCAGTTCCATGAGGTCGCTCAAAGATTTCACAGAGAAGCCTCCTTGTCGGGCATGCCTCAGCACTGAAGGTCCCAGTGGCTTGTCTAGACACAATTTTGTATGATGGATTAGGCTTGCAGGAGTCACTTTCCCTTGTACCATGGCATCAAAGATATATTTATATAGACTAACTTGGAAATAGTCTTTCTTTTTCTGAGCTGACAGAGGGAGCACTGGGCGCCTTCGTGTCTTGAGTTCGGCGAGCTCCAGCTCCCCCTTGGATGTGTAGTGCAACTCATCAATCACTCCAACAAGAAATATGCCCTCTACTTCCCCAAACACAGGAAACTCTCTGATGCGCCCTTCTGACTGTAGGGTAGGAATCATTGATAGTATGTTCAGAAACTTAATTGCCCAGGCATCTTCTTTAGTGGTGATGGGGACAGTCACAAGGTCATGAAGTTCTAGTTCTTTTGCTAGGTGGATGCTAGCACCAGTGTCCAAAACGGCTGCCTTCTCAGGTGTCAAAGACCCAGGAAGTTCCTTTCCATACACCATTTGCAATTCACACCAGTTCTGAGTACACAGGTCAGTGACATATAAATATTTCAAATGGAATCTCTCCATGGGCGACAAGACATCTGATCCATTTTTCCAGTTCTGCAAGCTTCCAGGTTTGCCATCCTTCCCAGGGAGTTCAGAAGAAGGGCCAGGCTTGCTAAGTGAAGCAGTTGATTCTTTGGCTTCTTCCAGGTCCAGAAACTCGACCAACTCCGAGTCACTCAAGTCTGAGAACCCTGAAGCTTCTGCTGATGCTGTCTCCTCTTCCCCAGTCTCAGCCATGGTATGTTCTAGGTTGAATGAGGAGGGACCTAGATAATGGTACCAAACATTGTCAAAGACTTGCAAATTCCCATGAGACTAACAGAATCATACCAGCTGACTGATTCATTCCTTCCTTGCAGCACTGGAAACTGAATCAGGGCCTTATGCTAGGCAAGTGCTGTACTACTAAACTACACCCCCAGCCCTAAGATGCCCATTAGTTACAAAGAGTTACACACCGGTACACTTTATAAAATGACTCTTTGTATTTACCATCTATCTACCCAGTCTATTTTTTGTTTTCACTGCTACAGAGAGGGTCCTGGTCATTGCACAAGTTAATTGAGGTGCCGCTGAGAGTAGAACTATTTTAGTTTAATTCATGGATCTGCTGCTAACATATCCTGGATGAGTTTAGGCAAAACTTACTTTTCTTGGCCTAGATTTCATTGAGGTTTCCCTATTTTACTTTGAAACTTTATAGATTTGGAGTATTATTTCACTACCTTTAATGACTATAGGTCTTGAGATATTAACGATGAAGAAAACCTCTTGGTGAATTTTATCTCATCCTTACTCATGCCCATACTCCCAGCACTTGGGAGATGGAAGAAGGAGGCATCAGAGTTCAAGGTCTCACAGCTACATAGCCAAGCTGTGTTTGAGTCCTGCTTGGGCTACATTAGACAATATCTGAAAACAACAGCAAAAAAGAAAACACACACATAAAAAATTACCCTGATGACTTTATAAATAATCTTCTTTATACATATGTGTGTTAAACACTACACTGGTGCTTGCCACTAATATTCTTTCCCCTCTCAGTAAGAAATTAGCTTATGATGAAAAAGGCCTATTAGCACAATTAAGAATACAAAAATGAGTACCATGAGACAGACGTGAGCTTCACCTTCACTTAAAAGAAGACAATTCACACTGATGTACAATTTATACTCAGCCACACAGCCTAGGCATCACCCTCCTCCCCAGACAAGACATGGCTGCTGTCTGTGTAGCCCTGGCTGTTCTGGAACTCAGTGTAGACTAGGCTGGCTGCAAATTCACAGAGATCCACCTGCCTCTGTCTCCTTAGTGCTGGGATTAATGGCGTGTACCACCACCACCCAGCTAGGCTAGACATTCTTATGCTGCTAAAAAAAAAAAAAAAAAGTTCAGAAAAGAATAGACACAGTGTACGGCTGACTAATGATGACCTATCAACATCATCTGATGCCTAGATGCATTTTCAGATATACCACAGATTTATTATAAAGCTATTATAGCATCCATCAAATGCCTCATTTTATAGACTTTCTTTTTAAGACTTCTGACTTTTGGGGGGAAGTTGAGACGGGGTTTGTAGTCCTGGCTGTCCTGGAACTCGCTCTGTGGAACAGGTTGACTTCAAACTCAGGAATCCTCCTGCCTGTCTTCTTGAGATTAACAGCATGTACCACCACTACCTGGTTTACTTTTTACTTCTTTTAAAGATACGTAAGTATCTATGAATATCGACATTAAATATTTAATATGTGAACAAATCCTGAAAAATCCAGTAGAATTTACTAGTACTCTACTTGTTTCTTGAATAATCCTAGGCACATTAAAAAAAAATTCTGATGCTACCGGCACATCTGTAAAATGCAGAATTGGTAGGCTAATCCTATGTTTGCTCAGCTAAAACACAGCCCACATAAATGTGGCTTTCCTTCCCCTTTCAAATGAATGGATTGGTCTATGTATATCTTATTCGCTCTGAAAAATGGCAACTTTGGGAGAACAGGATCTCATACTCACCTGGGCCTTAGCTGCTTTCCCTCGTCAGGGAAGGGCGTTGAGTTAAAATGGCAAAGCTAGTGAAGATGAGTAGGCGCTCGCTCGGGCCCTTGCATCAAAAGTGAACTTTTCCCCTGACCACGCCCTCGTATCACGGTGTTACACTGCAGGCACTGCTGTCTATCGTAACTCCTCCCTGCACCCGCCTCTCCAGGGCAAGGGCTCCATAACGCCTCATGCCCCAGAAGGGCTACTTGATGCAATCCCCGAGCTGGGCGCTCAGTTCCGCCCTCCCGGTTCCCGGCTGCAGCCCGAGGTCGCAGGCCGTGCCTGGCTGATGGGTTCCGGGGGCTGCCGCGGCCTCCAGGCCTTCCACGCGGGCAGGCCTGTGCTTTGCACTCAGCCCCCGGGCCCCGTCCTCCTGGTGTGCCACACGCACCCTCAAGTGTACTGAGTCCAAGCGCCAGGACCCGGATCGGTCCAGGATCTAAACGCATCGAACGGGAACCTCCGAGAGAACTGCCCCCTCGGCGATGGACCACGGTCACCGAGCTCCTGGGAGCAGCTCGAGGACCGCCCCTTTCCGGAAACCCCGCCCCCGAACTCGCGAGACTAGGGGTTGAGCGGGCTTCTAAACCCTGATGCGGTTGCACATACTGTAGTATTTGATGCCTTTTAGCCTGGAGGCATCTAGTTGTCACTGTCCGAGTCTCTTGCGACCACCAGCCCGACGAGAGGAAGGTCTCGGTCGTCACCTCGCTGGCTGTCGCCAGCAGAGCTGGCTTCTGACACCCTTGGGCCCCGGATCCGGATCTTAGCATTTGGCACCAGCTTTCCCAGCATAAGAAGAATTAGGAACCCAAGTTTCACAGACGCTGGCGCTCCTCTTGTCAGTGCCCCTTGGTTTCCTTCATCCTTTCTTGGCCTCCATTTGGGATACTCTGCTTTTCCCGTGCTGGGATTACAGGAATTGTGCTCCTATGCCCAGAGTCTTTCTTAAGTTTTTTTTTCTAATGTCTGGTTTATGTATATGGATGTTTTGCCTGCCGTTATATGCACCACGTGCCTGCATGGTGTGCATAGAAGCCAGAAAAGGGGGTCGGATCTCCCGGAACTAGAGTTAGAGAAGGTTTGAGAGCCAGAAACAAACTCAGGTCCTTTTCAAGAGCAGCTAGTGCTCTTAGCCATATCTCCAGCCTCAGTTGTTTCTATTTTTGAGAAATACTTTCCAGCCCATGGTAACCCACACCTAAAATCTCACCACTGGGATTTTAGACTTGAGTCTAAACTCCAAAAGGGTAAGGCCTGGCTGTTTGGTTCATGCAGTAAATTCAGTCAAGAATTCAAGGGTTCACCAGAAACACAGGTTTGCTTTTTGTTTGAATTTAAATATCACCACAGAGGGTATTGGATCCCCTGGAACGAGTTATAGACAGTTGTGAGCTGCCATGTGGGTGCTGGGAATTGAACCTGGGTCCTTGGGAAGAGCAGCCAATGCTCTTAACAACTGAGCCATCTCTCCAGCCCCAAAAGTACTTATTATTATTATTATTTTGAGACGGGTTTTCTCTGTAGCTTGGGAGCCTGCCCTGGAACTCACTCTGTAGACCAAGCTGGACGAAAACTCAGAGATCACCTGAGGACAAACAGATACCAAACAAAGAACTTGGGCAGAAAAAAAAAAAAAAGGAAATTGCACAGATGGGGACTAAAAGCACCAAAACACTACACTCAATGTGGTGGGGCAAAGATAAAAGAGGCACAGTTTTGTGCCTCTTTCTTTGGCACTGTTGAAGCCGTGGATCCAGAGAGATTAATTTCCTGGAATCACATGCTGGAGGAGAGGGAATGCTGAAGCTCTGTGCGTCCGAGGACTTGTCTCTCAGGAGAGACTTCACGTGCTCCTTACGACTTGTTAGACCACTCTGCAGGAAACGCAGCCGAGACAATGGGCAGGACCATCCCTTTACCAGGACAGCTTAGTTGTGCGTCCCTCTTGGCCTCTGTTTAAACCTAAATTTCAGCCAGGCAGTGGTGCACAACCTTTAATACTAGCACTCAGGAGGCAGGTGGTCTCTGAGTTCAAGCCCAGCCTGGTCTACAGGGTAAGCTCCAGGACAGCCAGGGCTACACAGAGAAACCGTGTCTCCAAAAACCAAAAATAGATAAACCTAAACCACATGTTAGGACCTCAAAGATGGTCTTGGGAATCGTTAGACTTCTGTTTGTTCCTCTCTCCAAAGTAGCCTCATTGCGTGAATCCCATTTCTCTGCTTCTTTCGTTAAGGGAATATGGAAAGCGAGTGGCTGAGCTTGGCCTGTTAATGCTACCAGAGCTCAGCATTAGGCCCTAAGAAAATCCAGTAATATGACTTTGTATATGTGGAGTATGTTTGGATAGAAATGGTACCAATAGTTCTACATTTAGATAAGATGAACTTTTTCTTCACTTAATTATAAGCAACTGGGGGGGGTTAAGCAATGGTTGGATGTGTATTTCAGTGTCACTGTAGCAGCATACGCAGTATAGATTTGCTAGAGCAATGGTTCTTAACTTTCCTAACGCTGTGACCCTTTAATACAGTTCCTCATGTTGTGGTGACCCCCGACCATAAAATGATTTTTGTGGCTACTTCATGACTGTAATTTTGCTACTGTTTTGAATCCTACCATGCAGGATATCTGATACGTGGTCCCTGTGAAAGAGTCATTCGACCCCTACCGAAGGGTCGCAACCCACAGATTGAATACTGCTGTGCTCGAGGAAGATGGACTGATGATGAAACAGGAAGTGCTAAGAACTTGAAGGCTGACCCTGACCTAGAGAGTAGGTAAACTGAGGCTGTCCCAGAACAGTACTCTGTGACTAACTGGGGGATGCAATGGGTGAGAAGAACAAAGTTTCGGCTGGATAGTTGGATTGATGGTGGTACAACTTTCTGAGTTAAGGAATGAAGACTTTACTGAAAAGGCAGTAAAAGGTTTCAACATGTAGAGTTTGAAGCAATTATAGAATAATCAGTATCCACACTGAACATATTTTGGGGCACAAAATGGAGATGGGAATTGAAGAAGTGTAAAATGGTGGTAAGATCAATTAGACCAAGTGTATGGCCATGGAAGAGGATGCTAAGAGTCACGGAGAAGAAACGTCTGTCATCAGCAGTGGGAGAAGGGACTGTGTGGTAAAGAGTAACCAAGCAGGTACTGGTAACAGGCCCAGACAAAGGGCAGGCTCTAGCAACGGAGTCCAACTTGCAACTTAGGGGCGATACTCACTTCAGAATAGTTAAGAATTAAGCTCAAGGGGGAGCTCATGGACCCTAGACTGACAGCTGGGAAACCAGAATAGGACTGAACCAGGCCCCCTGAACGTGGGTGTCAGTTAGGAGGACTGTGTGGTCTATGGGGCCTCTGGTAGTGGATCAGTGCACGAATGGGCATTGGGAGCCCATTCCCCATAGAGGGATACTGTCTCAGCCTAGACACATGGAGGAGGGCCTAGGCCCTGCCCCAAATGATGTGACACTTTGATGGTCCCCCATGGAATGCCTCACCCATGTGAGGTGTGTGGAGGGGGGCAGACAAGGGGGGAATGGGAGGAAGAGAGAACTGGGATTGATATGTAAAATAAGATTGTTTCTAATTCAAATTTTTTAAAAAAGAATTAAGCTCAACACAAAACTAGTTAGTTTGAGATCTTCCAAGCTTAACTGCAAGGTTCTTTAACTCTGTGTGTGTGTGTGTGTGTGTGTGTGTGTGTGTGTGTGTGTGTGTGTGTGAGTCCGAGTGTGTGCACATGCACGAGTGCAGGTGTGGATTTCTGAGTCTGGGTTTGGGAATTTAAATGCACTTCTTACAAAAGCTAGAGGTATTAGATATTAGATACCCTTGGAATTGGAGTTACATGCAGTTCTGAGTGACCTGAGGTGAAGGCTGGAAGCCAAACTTGGGTCCTCTGCAACAGCAGTATAAACTCTTAATGGCTAAGCCATCTCTCCAGCCCCATATGCAGAGTCCTTGAGTATGAATTTCATGTTGCAATGTCAAGTTTGGACATCTCTGCAAACATAACAAAAGACCCCCTGAGGAAAACTGCTATACTCAGCAGATGTTTGAGCTGAACCTCAAGTGGCATGAGCCTGTGACCTCAGCTACTCAGAATGCTGAGGTAGAAGCAACTTAGAACTTAACAAAAGAAAAAAAGGGGCTGGAGATAGCTCAGAGGTTAAGAGCACTAACTGTTCTTCCAGAGGTCCAGAGTTCAATTCCCAGCAACCACATGGTGGCTCACAACTATCTACATAATGAGATGAGATCTGGTGCCCACTTTGGGCCTGCAGACATACATGCAGGCAGAACACTATATACACAATAAATAAATAAACCTTAAAAAAAAAACTAAAGGACTGAGGATGTAGCTTAGTTGGCAAGGCACTTACTTGTCAGGCATACACACAAAGCTCTGAGTTCAGCCCCCAGCACCGCATAAACAATGTGTGGTACCCCACATTTGTAATCCCTGACCTTGAGAGACAGAGGCAAGAGGATCATAAGTTCAAGGCCATTCTTAACTACATAGTAAGTTTGAGGCCAGCCTCAGGAAAGAAAGACTTGTCTCAAAAAAATGTTGCTTAGTGGTAGCACTTGCCAATCATGCATGATGCCCTAGACTTAATTCAGTATTGTAAATCAATAAATTCTTCAAAGGAGCGCAGGTGCTTTAAAAAGCTGGTGTAAGAAGTTTGGAGAGCTGGGCATTGGTGGCGCACGCCTTTAATCCCAGCACTCGGGAGGCAGAGGCAGGTGGATCTCTGTGAGGTTGAGAGCAGCCTCGTCTACAACAGCTAGTTCCAGGACAGGCTCCAAAGCCACAGGGAAACTCTGTCTCAAACAACCAAAAAAAAAAAAAAAAAAAAAAGTTTGTGGAGAAAAGATACTCAAAACTGTGACTGGAGTAAAAGGACATGGGCAATATTTTAAAATTAATGTGTGTGCATTAGCACACATGGAGATCAGAGGACAGCGTGTGGAAGACAGTTCTCTCCCACCACATGGATCCCAAGGATCAAAATCAGGTAGGTTACCATGCTTAGTGGCAAGTGCGTGTACCTGCTGAGCCGCCTCCCCAACCCAGGTAGTTCCCAAATACCAATCTGTAGACCAATGAGTCCATCAAGAAATAATTTATTAATCTATCATGAAATGAGAAAAAATAATTGTGAATTTTTCATAATGCTGAATTTATCATTTTGCAAAAGTGTCAGACAATAGTAATCAATGTAGTGTTTGTGTATGCTACTGGCAAAATTAAAAGTTCTCACTGTTCTTATCAGTTTCTCAAATTTGAGTCCTGAAATTTTAAAGCTTAGACTCACCAATTTGCCTTTTGTTCTCATGTCCTGTATCATTTTTTAAACATTATCTGGAGAAGAGTTCCTCTTGTGTATTTTATAGTGTCTGCTCAGGGACGAGTTATAGCTGAAGGACTTTCCACATTCATTACATTCATAAGGTTTTTCGCCAGTGTGATGTCTCTGGTGTTTCTTAAAGGATGAATCGTGCCGGTAGGCTTTCCCACACCGGTTACACTCATATGCTTTCACTCCCGTATGAACAGTTTTATGGTTGCTAAGGTGTATCCTCTGCCTAAAGGCTTTCCCACATTCCTTACATTTGTAGGGCCTCTCGCCGGTGTGGATCCGCTGGTGATGTGTGAGATATGCTCTGTGACTAAACGTTTTACAGCACGAAGTGCAGGCATAGGGCTTCTCCCCAGTGTGAATTCTTACGTGCTCACTAAGGTGTCTAATCTGCCGGAAAGTTTTCCCACACTCGTTGCAGCTAAACGGTTTCTCTCCAGAATGTGTCCTCAAATGTTGGACCAAGCTGATGTTCTGGCTGAAGGCTTTCTGACATTTGTCACAGACGAATGGTTTCTCTCCAGTGTGAATTCTATGATGCTGGTTGAGCGATGAGCGATGCCGGAAGGCTTTGCCGCACTCCTCACATTCAAAGGGTTTCTCGCCAGTGTGGATTCTCTGGTGTGTATTTAGCGATGCGCTCTGACTAAAGGCCCTTCCACATTCCTGACATCTGAAGGGTTTCTCACCGGTGTGAATTCTCATGTGCTCTGTAAGGTGAATGGGTTGTTTGAACATTTTTTCACATATATTACATCCATACATTCTGGCTCCTAGGCAGCTCATTGGATCATCAGTTGAATCTAACTTATATTTGTTTCTCCTCTTACCCAGGTTGTATTTATGGTGCTTCTGTTCTAAAATAACATTGGAACCCTCAAGGTTTTCCCCAAATTTGTTTGCTTCTTGGCATCCCTTTTTGTGAGTCAAAACAGCTTGCCTCCCACCTTTTCCACGGATTCCCTGGTGCCTTTCTAGTGTACCACTGTAGCTGGAGGCTTTCTTCAATGTAGAACAAGTGACATCGTCCTCTGTGAGCCTTTCCACCATGATGCCATGACCGAACTTAGGGGGAATGTCATTCTCTGCAGTTGACTCCTTGGTTTGTAGTTTATTCTTCACACCTGAAAGACATGAAAGAAAAAAGGAATGTGAATAACTCATTAACCTTTGGGAAAAAAATTAACAACTGGGGCTGGAGAGATGGCTCAGTGTTAAGAGCACTGGCTGCTCTTCCAGAGGTCCTGAGTTCAATTCCCAGCACCCACATGGTGGTTCACAACCATCTGTAATGGGATCAGATTCCTTCTGGTGTGTATGAAGACAGAGCACTCATATACATGAAATAAATGAATAAATAAATCTTTTAAAAAAGCAACCACTGTAATTGTTATAGAACAGAAATTTAAATAACAGTAGAGAAAGCAGTATGGGATTTTTACTGTATTTAGGTATAGTTATACAGCCTGGCCTGGCAATAAGAAGTGCAATTAAGAAACAGAGAATGGGGCTGTTCAGTTGGCAGTACTTGCCTAGTTTACATGAAAGCCTGGGTTACAACAAAAACTAGCTGAGATAGCATATGCCTGCAATCCCATCACTTGAGAAGTGGAAGCAAGAAGATCAGAATTTCAAGACCTTGAGATACATGAGACCCTATCTCAAAAATAATAAATTAAAAACAATGAATAGGTTGTTTGCATCTATTTTTATTTGTATTTTTTGGTTATTCGAGACAGGGTTTCTCTATGTAGCTTTGGAGCTTATCCTGGCACTCGCTCTGGAGACCAGGCTGGCCTCGAACTCACAGAGATCTGCCTGCCTCTGCCTCCCGAGTACTGGAATTAAAGGCATGTGCCACCAATGCCCGGCAAGAGAAAAGTTTTTTATTATGGTTGTGTGTGCACACATGTGGACAGAGGTCAGAGGATAATGTTCAGGAAGTCAGTTGTCCCCTTTCACATTGTGGTTTCCAGGGCTCACATTCAGGGTTTTAGTTGTGGCAGCAAGGACCTGCTGAGCTACCTGGCCAGCCCTCTTGCAAGACTTTTTATGAAGTTGTTTTGAAGAAAATTAGAGACGTGAGTTGAAAGGAGAAACTGAAGTCGAGGCCATAAAGTAATAGTAGGAAAGAGAAAATAAACTGTGTAATGTAATGTGGCACTGAAAAAAGACCATTTTAGAGAGACAGCAAATGTCTATGACACATCATGTCAGCAACTTTGCTGTTCTGTGAGGGCATCAGATTCAACTCTAACTCGGGCAAGACTTCTCTCCCTTCTAACTGCAGAGACTCCCACAAGGACTTGGAGATGAAAGGAGCGATGGGGAAGGGATGAAATGAGACCAAGTGCAGGTCCTGCCAGTGCCCCGAGCCTTCCCCACAACCTAGGAAGACCCCGAGCACTCTGGCCTACCTACCCACAGGGCTCATCTACCCTGGTCTCACCGATCATGGGGTCCTCTGGGCCTTGACTCTCTGCCATCCATGGTCCTTCTCCTTTCTCCAACTGGGAGATCACACTAGGCTTGGAAAGTTGGTATCCTGCTCACAGAGTTAGAGAAGAATTATGTTGATGCTGCTGTTTGAGAACTGCCCCAGAGCTCAGGTCCAGCGTTTGCTAGTCAGGTTGGTAACCAACAGGGTCACAGCTCTCTTTTCTAGCTCTACCAAATAACGCTGTCCCTTAAAGAAGTCATCAGATACACCCTGGCATGGTCTTCAAAGGAACAACAGATCTCTAGTACAGAACCCACAGTCAAAACCCTGTGAACCCATGACAACAGTTTAGCAGCAGTGGCTCTCTTATAATGGGCAAGTTTGTGGGGGCCAGCTGGCATGATAGTTAATTTTTAATTGTCAACTTGACACAACCTTTAACCACCTGAGAAGATGCTTTTTTTTATGTGTAATTTTTAAAGCTTGTTTTATGGATCCTTTGTGAATTTCCTGAGAAGATTCTTAATTGAACTGCTTAGATCAAGTTGGTGTGGAAAGCTGTCTTAATGAGTGAAGACCTCCACTGTGGGTGGCACCATTCCCCGGTCTGGGGATTTGGACTATGTCAGAGTAGAGAAAGCTGGCTGAGAGCAAGCAAGCAAACACAGATGTATTCTAGCCTTTGCTCTTTATTGTAGATGTGATGTTTAAGTTCTTGCCTCAGCTTCCCCAAAATGGAGTTAAAACTATGAGACAAATAAACCTTTGCTTTTTGTGGGGGGATTTTCTCACATCGACAGAAAGGAAAGGAGAATGGCTGGTTGGTCCTTACCCACTGACACCAGGTTTCTGTAGTTCTCAAGCATCACCTCCCGATACAAATCCCGGTATGCAGGAGTCAGCTGTCCCCACTCCTCCGGGGATAAGTCCACAGCTACATCTTTGAAAGTCAATGATTCCTAGAATATCAAACAGGCAGTGTGAGTCAGTCCAAACCAGTCAAACCCTAAGGACCTCCAGCAGTATCCTAAGTTCAGAGAGAACCCACACCAGTTTCCCCAGGAGCAGCTGCTCTAGATTTTCTAGAGACTGCTAAAGAGTACTAAGTATATGGGACAGAAAAAAAATCTGAAAAAGCTAGCGAGAGTCGAGGTGATCTTTTCTTTGGGGTGCAATGAAAGCAGTGAAGGTATTGTTTCGCAGGAGGCACCGATTCAGTGGGAGAGTCATGTGGGAATCTGAGGGAAGAGTACTCTAGAATGGGCCAAAAGGCCTCAGACTGAGAAACAAGAGCAGCATGGGTGAGGCGGCTTTGTGACAAGGGAGAAGAAAGAGATGAGAGCAGGTAAGTGGGGCAAGGAAGGAGGTCTTAGCACTCACCGTCCCTAGTACTTATGCATTCCTCTATTTTTCTTGAAAAAAGTTTAAATTAGCATACACAGTATTAGGTTTCACTGTGACATTTTAAAACAAAATTTGTTTTCTGTTGACTCTCCAACCTTCTTCTCCCTCATGCCCCTGAAGCCCACGTGTTCCCTTACACACGTCCACCAACAGTCCTCTTCCCACTTTCAAGTCACCCTGGTGTCATTGCCCCCTCCCATTTCACACCTCTTTGCCCCTCTCATCTCCTTCCCACACCTCCTCCCTACACACAGGCATGTGGACACTGTAAGTTAGGATCCACGCGTGAGAGGCAACGTGGTATTTGTCTGAGTCTGGGTCCCCTGACTTTGTGCAATCCCCAGATCCATCTATTTTCCTGAAAATTTCATGACTTCATTTTTCTTCACAGCTCAATGCAGTCCCACCGTGTCACACCGAGTTTGCATCATCCATTCACAGGCTGAAGGGCAGTTAGGCTGGTTCCATTTTCTTGCTGCCATGAACAATGCAGCAGCAATAAGCATGGCTGTGCAGGTGTCTCTGTGGTGGAGCAGAGTCCTCTGGGTATGTCCCCAGGAGGGGTATAATGCAGTCATATGGAAGTATTGCATTGACTGTTTGAGGACCCTCCACACTGACTTCTGTAACAGCTGTACTCATTCACAGCCCTCAATCGGTGAGCAAGGGCATCTTTGCCCACATCCTCACCGGCATTTGTTGCCTCTTTCCTTGATGACAGCCATTCTGACTGCAGTGAGACGGAATCTCAAAGTCTCCTGTTTGTTTTGTTCTTGTTTTCTAAGATTTATTTCTGTGTATGAGTCTTTTGCCTACATGCATGTGTATATATGTGTACCACATGTGTGCCTGGTGCACTAGGAGGTCAGAAGAGAGAGCCCTGGATCCCAGGAACTGGAGTTACAGATAATTATGAGCCACGCTGTGGGTGCTGGGGAATGAACCCAGATCTTTTGCAAGAGCAGCAAATATCACTGTCATTTAAGGCTGACTGAACTGATAAAAACAAGGTCAGGCTAGCTGAGTTTCCAGGAATGCATCTCCATGGGACTTTTTAAAAAAGTAGCCAAAAGTCATTATAATACAAAAATGGAACAATGAAAAAGTATTCGATCCCAAAGAAGGTAATAGAAGATGAACAAAGTAACAAACACATATAGGACAAAGAACAAAATACACAACCACATCAATGACAAACTGTGTAAGTGGACTAAATATGTAAGGTCACACTGTAGTCAGAGGCTCAGCGTTTGTATAGGCAAGTGGCTCTATACAAACAATAGTGGAAAAAGCAGAAAGCCAAGTTAATCAAAATGGACTGCAGGCAAAGGCACATTGCTAGACTCTAAAACAGTGGTTCGAACCTATGGGTCTCGACCCTTTCAAGAGGGTCGCATATCAGATATTTACATTATGATTCTAACAGTAGCATAATTACAGGTATGAAGTAGCAACAAAAATAATTTTAGGGTTGGTGGTCACCACAACATGAGGAAGTGGACTGAAGGGCTGACAACTACTGGTTTAGAAGAATGACACTTCACACAAGACTGAGTAGGTTTGGGTTGGGATGGTTGTAAATCAGTGTGTTATTTCATAATGCTAAGAAGGTCTGTTTAAGGGGACAGCCTAAGGCCAGGCATGGTTGTGCACACCTTTAATCCTAGCACTCAGGAGGCAGAGGCAGGCAATCTCTGTGAGTTTGAGGCTAGCCTGGTCTACAGAGTTAGTTCTACAACAGCCAGGGCTGTGTACAGAGACCCTGTCTCAAAATACAACAGAAAAGACAGTGTGTTTCTGATCAGAGAAAACTTAAAAGGAAGCAAAACTGATTGCCCTCACACCCAAACTTCAACAGAACCTACTTTCTTCCAAATAAATTCTAATTACTAATAAACAAAACTGTCAGAATTAGAGATGGACAGACAAAAAAGCAAAGCAAAGCAAAACAAAACAAAACCCCAAACTGACCGACTTAATATCTTCTGATGGGCCAGTAAATAAAAATGCATCAAGGAAGGGGCTGGCCAATAGCTCAGCCGATGAAACACTTGCCTGGCATTCGAGAAGCCCTGGGTTCAATTCTCAGATCTGTATAAACTGAGTGACAGCACACACCTAGAACCCTAGGGCTTGGGAGCTGGAGGCAGGAGTGTCAAAATAAAGGTCATCCTTAGATACATAAAGAAGTCTACATAATGAGTTTAAGGCCAGCCTGGGCTACATGAGACCCTGTCTCAAAAAGAAAACTAAAAACATGCAGGAAGGTTTGAATCATGCTATATGTGGTTTAAGCTAATGCTTCACAACTACAAAATCCACCTTTTAAAACTTAAAAAGAAAAAAGTCAAGAAATAAACTTTTTTGTGGGGTGGTGTCAGACAAGGTTTCTCTGTAGCTTTGGAGCTTTTTCTGGAACTTGCTCTGTAGACCAGGTTGGCCTCAGACTCAGATCCACCTGCTTCTGCCTCCTGAGTGCTGGGATTAAGGCATGCACCACCATGCCCAGCTTACAGGCAATCTTGAGGGGCCCAACATTAATGTGAGGCTCAAACTCAAGTCCTCTGCAAGAGCAGTACATGTTCTTAATCACTGAGACATCCCTCCAGTTTCAATAATCTTCCAGTAATTATTTCTGGTTTTTTTTTTTTAAGATTTATTGCCGTGTGTGTGTGTGTGTGTGTGTGTGTGTGTGTGTGTGTGTGTGTGTGTGTGTGTGTGTGTGTGTATCTGAGTGTATGTAAGTATACCATGTACATGCTAGTGCCCATTAGGCCGGAGGTGGTGTTGGATCCCCTGGAGCTGAAGTTACAGGAGGTTAGGATCCAGGTGATGTGGGTACTGAGAATCAAGCCTGGGTCCTCTGTATGAGCAGCAAGTGCTCTTGAACACTGAGCCATCTCTCCAGCCCTTGTAAATATTTCTTTGTACCTATTCTAGAATTTCCTTCTGTCTCCACCAAATTTCTACCAGGCAGTGATGAGCTACTTCTGACACAATTCCCTAAAGGGTTCTGGATTCTCTTGTTTTCTACCCACTTGTAAAAGGGCTGCGTAGCCTGACCATTTTTTTTTTTCTATTCACCTTTCCTGTGGCTGTTTTTAATGCTACACCAATAATGGCCACAGTCATGTACATGGATCATTAAGAACCTTGGAATGAAATTCTCACTTACATATTTGATGGCTATTAGAACATATCAGAATGGCTGTTAGAAGCTGCTTACTTTTTTCATATTGTGTGTGTGTGTGTGTGTGTGTGTGTGTGTGTGTGTGTGTGTGTTATACATATGTGCAGAGTGTGCATCTGCGTTTGCCCAGGTAGAACATGAGGAGGCATTGGGTGTCCTCCATTACTCTTAGCCGTATTCCAACCTCAAGCTTGTGTTTACTCAGCTGGGCTGGCAAATAGCAAGCCCCAGGGATCCCCTGATCTCTACCCCCCACAGCACTGGGGTTACAAGCACACCCAGATTGTTATGCCAAGGCTGGGATCTGAACTCAGGTCTTCACCAGTGTGCAGCAAGCACTCCTGTCCAACAAGCCCTCTCTTCACTCTACTGATTATTTTACTGATGTTTATCTTAGATGCCAAGACATTCTGTCAGTTTGGAGCTGGGGTGAGAACAGAATTGCTTTTCTTTGCTTTCTACCCTGAAATTAGGACAATGTTGATTTCTGAAGACACTGTAAAAATGGACACTGCCACCACAGACGTCTAATTTTTTATATATCAGTAACTTGTATGTAACTCCCCAGACTGAATTATTGGTCTCAACCTACTTCCACTTCTCAAAAAGGCAGTTTATATCCCTAAAAACTAAGAAGGAATGTCAAGAAAATGAGAGGAAACTCCAACACACCTGTGATTCTGTTGCAAGGATGCTAGGGGTCACACCTTGTGATAAACGTTCTCGTTGACTCCCATCAGTATCATGGGATATTGGAGCTGTAGAAGAAGAAAAACCATGAGGTGTGTATCTTCCCACATCACCAGATAGAAAAACTGCCATCCTCCCCACTGACAGGGGCTCCTTCCCCACATACTCACAAACAGCATGTAGCCTTCGCTGGCCTGAAACTCAGAAGCCCGCCTGCCTCTGCCTCCTGAGCACTGAGGCTTAAGCTTTCCACACCACATTGGGCTTGGTTTTCTTTTTAGAGAGGGCCTCACTCTGTTACTCAGGCTGGCCTCAATCACACGCTCAGCTTGGCACCACGTTCTTAACCTTTGATTAGGCTGAACATTCCACACTATACTCTGTGTGACCTACTCCTAAAGGTACAAATTTTTCTATCCTTTCCCCAAAGCAAAAAACAAAAACAAAAAACCAAACCAAAACAAACAATAAGACACTCTTCTAGACCTGATTCAGCAGTATCTCCTTTTTTTTTTTGAGAAAGGGTTTCTCCGTAGCTTTGGAGCCTGTCCTGGTACTTACTCTAAAGACTAGGCTGGCCTGGACCTCACAGAGATCCAACTGTCTCTGCCCCCTGAGTGATGGGATTAAAGGTGTGTGCCACCACTGCCCTGGTCCCTAAGCAGGGAAATGTCTTAGCACATGCAATCAGAAGATGGCTTCCTGGCCATTGTCTGACAAAGAACTTTTTAAAGGCTATCTGCTATTATTTTTATCTCTATGTATCCACCTCACTAATTAATAATAAGCATTCAAGAAAGTTATTCATGCCAGGCATGAATAATTAGAGGTGGCACACACTTCTAATCCCTACACTCAGGAAGTAGGGTTCAGAGTTCAAGATCAGCCTCTGCTATATAGCAAATTGGAGGCCAGGCTGTCCCACACATAAGACACTGACAAAACACCACTACCAACAACAAAGAGAGGTAATTACTCTTTTTTTTTTCATCTATTAAGATGCTTAGTAACAATCCCTCAGCTAGGACATTAAAAACAAAAAACCAAGGGGTGTCAGTTAGGAGGCCTGGGCAGTCTATGGGGCCTCTGGTAGTAGACCAGTATTTATCCCTAGTATATGAATGGATTTTGGGAGCCCATTCCTCATAGAGGGATACTCTCTCAGCCTAGACACACAGGGGAGGGCCTAGGCCCTGTCCCAAATGATGTGACAGATTTTGATGATTCCCCATCGAAGGCCTCACCCTCCCTGGGGAGCAGAAGGGTGATGGGATGGGGGGGTTGGTGGGGGAGCAAGGGAGAATGGGAGGGAGAGGGGACAAGATTGTTTCTAATTTAAATAAAAAATCGAGGAAAGAAAGATTTTAAAAAACCACCCCCCCAAACAAACAAAAAACAACAAAACACTTGGCTGGATACCAAGCATTATGGATATGAATGAAGAGATCGAGTGGGGGAGAGATTCTTCCTGCTGTCTATTGTATGTGGGGAATGGAAATGTAAGTGGTGCATAGTAAAAGTCACCAGGAGCTAGAGGGGAGCCTAGCATTTCCCTTGGCCCCAAAACCAAGCAGGAACCCCACACAGGCCTTCTCATCCTCACAGACTACCCCTTCCCTCCCACCTTCATCTGTCTGTTCTTACCTTCTCCTTCAAGCATTTTCGTCACATCCTCCCTCGGGGATGCACCCTCCTTGGTCTTCACCCAGGTGCTGGCCTCACTGGACAGGGTGATCAGAAGCTGCTGAGGCATGATGGCCCCCACAGTTTGTTGAGACCCTGTAACACCAGATACCATCGTGACCTGAAGAACTCTGGAAACAGGCCATGTGTCTTTGGGAGGCAGTCCTTTGTATTCTCTCTCTCTCTCTCTCTCTCTCTCTCTCTCTCTCTCCTTTTCTTTTTGGTTTTTGAGACAGGGTAGCTCTGGCTGTCCTGGAACTCATTCTATAGACCAGGTGGGCCTTGAACTCACAGAGATCCATCTGTCTCTGCCTCCTGAGTACTGGGATTAAAGGTTCATGCACCACCACACCTGGCTATACTAAAAAACAAACAAACAAACAAAAAACAAAAAAAACTTCATTCATTTACGCGTCTGTGTGCTTTTGCCACAGGGGTGCCCAGTTGGAGGTCACAGGACAACTGTGACCATTTTCTCCTTCCACCACGTGGGTCACAGGGATTGAACTCAGGCTGTAAGGCTTGGCGGGTGCCCTTCCCTACTGAGCCATCTCTAATCCCATTTGCACACTTGAGGATCAAAAGGTAGAAAGGCAACATCCAGCTGGGCAGTTTTGGCAAACATTGTTAACTCTGGCCTTGAATTCCGAGGCCAGCCTGGTCTACAGAGAGTTCCAAGGCAGCCAGGGCTGTTACACAGAGAAACAAACCCTGTCTCGAAAAACCCAAAACAAGGAGAAAGGAAGGGAGGGAAGGAGGGAAGGAGGGAAAGGTGTGACTAGAGCACCTATCATAAGAGCCAGAAATGGATTTATAACCACAAAAAGGCCTACAATATTTGGCACTGAGTCTGAAATAAGAGTGTCCTGGATACAGAAGCACCCTTCAACTCCAAACACACAGATACAAAGATGAACAAATGTCCACACACCCTGACCTGACTTCCTACCTTGTAAGCTGCACACTCCCTCTGCCTGCTTACATGTTTGGAGTCCAGGAAGAATCTTTGATGTCATAACCCGGAGAGCTGTGTATAGAGCTCTAAAGCCTTTCAAGCAGAGCTTCAGTCTCCCCAACTATAAAATGTGGACAGTAACTGTGCGGCACAGGGATGCAGCGTTGAGACAGAGTTAGACCTACAGCAATCTCTGAGTTAATAATTTAAACCTTTTCATTTAAAGCTGTACAACAGCATTATCTTAAATTTTAAAAAAATTTATATGTGCTTATTTATTGGGGGGGAGGGTTGGAGATTACATGACAACCTTTGAGAGTCAGTTTTCTCCTTCTACCAGGATAGAACTCAGGGCAAAAGCCTTTACCGACTGAGCCATCTTCGCCAGTTCCAAGGCATCATCTTTTAAAGTTATTTTTAAAAAACAATTAGAATTCTGAACTTAAAGTTCAGCTTGAGTATCTCGGCTGATAAAACAATCCACATAGCTGCATTTTGGGCTCGAGCAAGCATTAGACATCATCACTCACCCAAGACGCCCTGCAGCTGGTGAAAAGAATCCTCGTTTCAAAACTAATTAAAACTGACAGAGGGGTACCTGCTCCCATGGAACTCGAATGGAGGAAATACGGTATCTCAAGTACAACCAGAACCACTTCAGAACTGACCGAAGCAGCAAAACTGGAAACAACCCAAACCCATCATGCGCATTGCCCATTCACCGATGAGCAGTTGCTCATACCCGGGACTGCAACACGAATAAATAAAAGACCCAGTGACAGATTTTGGGGTTGGAACTTCAAGCTGAATATCAGAAAAAGCAAAGCAGCCGGCCACTAGCTCGCACCTCTAGCTCAGGCTGAAAGGGCTGATCCATTCACGGCCGTTCACCAAGTCTCGAGCTGCCGCCTCTCCTCAGTGTGCCTGGAGAACGAATGCTTCTCTGAGACCCTGATTCTGCATTATACACTTCCCTAGTGTTGGGATTAAAGGTGTGAGCTATCATTCTGTTTCAGACTGATTCACTCTTGTGGAGACCTGGGTGGCCTGGGAATCAACAGAGATCCTCTACCTCTTAATCCTGAGTCCTAGGATTAAAGGTGTGTACCACCACCTCCTAACTTCTGGCTGCTGGGATTAAAGGCATGTGCCTGGTTTCTAAGGCTTGTGGCTACCTTTGCTTTCTGAATCCTCAGTCAAGCTTTAATAAATCATAAACAATATATCACTACAGGGGACCAGGTCCAGTGGCTCTGAGAGCCCAAAAGCAGCTCCATGTGTGTGTGTGTGTGGGGGGGACAGCTCTTTGAAGTTTGGGGGAGGGGAAGAAAAGGTGAACTACTGAGTGTCCAAAGAGACCGGAGCTGGTGGAAACAGCCCGGACTATGTAAAAAGTCTGGGTACTAAGTGCAGAAACTTTCGACTGTTGCTTCCGAAAACGCTGACAATCACAGAAGCTTGCTGGAACCCATCCTCGGAGCCAGCCACCCCGACCTGCTCTTACTCACCGGAGGCTCTCTGGAGCAGCCCCGGGTGGCGCGGATCCGTTCCCCGCGGCGCCTAACGCGCACCGAAGCTGCTTCTGTGGGGACGCAGGGCACCGTCGGCCTCGGGACTGACACTGGCTTCTCCCGCTTCTCACCCGCTGCACCCGGGAGCGAGGCTCGGC